AACTGCCGTCCTCTTCGACGCAGGCAGTGGTCGGACGGAAGCGGTTTGAGGTGAAGAAGTGGTCGGCGGTGGCGCTGTGGGCCTGGGATATAGTTGTGGACAACTGTGCCATTTGTCGCAACCATATCATGGATCTGTGCATTGAATGTCAGGCCAATCAGGCGTCGGCCACGAGCGAGGAGTGCACAGTGGCCTGGGGGGTCTGCAACCACGCCTTCCACTTCCACTGCATCTCCCGGTGGCTCAAGACTAGACAGGTCTGTCCCCTCGACAACAGGGAGTGGGAGTTCCAGAAGTACGGACATTAACCCCACACCAGACACACCTGTCTATCAGTTGATTACCACTGCGAACACTATTAACACTATTATTATCTTTTAATACATTTATTATTTGCTTTCAATACCACTATTGTAATCCAAATCTCTTTAATTGTCAACACTTTCTCTGATTATATGATTACTATTCTTGTCATTCATTTAGTATTGAATTTGGATTTAAATAAAATTAACAAAATTTTGTCAATAATTTCATTCATTTGTTTCGCAACTTATTTATCGTTTGTAAGCTTTATGTTAATTACGGGTTATGTATGCGTTTATAATGAGGGAGACAGCACAGGAACGGTCTGTCGTGCGGTTCAGAGGCTCCGTCTTAACGTCGGGCCACGCGATGATCATCTGCTTCTTCTTCGAGAGCCCAGTGTTTCGTTTGTAGGAGTGGTCACCGAAGGCTCGCGAGGCGTTGACACCCATATTGATCCGTCCGGACACCACTTCGCCACCCGCGTCGTCCGGCTTGTTGTCTCAGGACAGGGGAATGGCTTACCGTTGCGGCACAGGATGGCCCGCGAGTCGCCTAAGTTGGCCGCGTATATCACGTTGTCTTTGATGAGCACTACGATGGCTGTGCACCCGCTGGCAATGCCCGGTGCGTTGGATTTGATGATCGGGTTATTAACACTTAATTCAATACATGAGACACTATTCACCATTCAATTAACATTTCATATAATTTCCTAAAACTTTTAACTCAAACACAAGTCTCAATGACTAGAATTTTTATAATATTTTATACCTTACACTTTTATAAACTAATTATAATATAAATTAATTTATTGCAAAAATTGTATACTTTATTTTGTGTAAAAACAAATAAAGTTTATGTAGTTAATTGAATATAATTATAATTAGTTAATGTTTTAAATTGCTGTATTTAAAAGTTATTAATTTAAGTATTATTGGTTAACAAATACAAACTTTAATTTAATTATTATTTAATTTAAGTTTTATATTCACAATCAGTAATTTATAAATTATCTTATATCATAGTATGAGAAAAAAAGTAAACATTTATTCAATGAATTTGTTTTAATGATATCATTTGTCTCAAAAGCAATGAACATTTTAAACTAAATCTTTCATAAATAATATGAATTCTCTGAAATAACATTAAAGAATTTAAGCAATAAATTCATACTTAGAAATAAAGATAGTCGTTCATATAGGAACAGGTATTGGAATAAAGTTAAAAAAAATTAAGTATAAGATTATTATTTGGTGACTTCAAAATCCATTTGTGTTTGCAGTTCATTATCGGGTTGTCTTTGAAGGGTATCCATCCGTTGAGTGATAATAATTCTTAAAAGGTTTGCCATTCGCTCTAAGAGTGGGTCATTAATCCGCTGCAACTCCGAGATGTGTTGAACCATTCCGGGCGACAATTCTTGACTCCTTTTTCCATGTCCGCCAAGACATGAGTGGCCGTATTGCTGACATTTCTTACCTTAAGGTTTTACATTTATTAAATCAAATCTTACTATTTTATAAATTTAATTATCTTGACACTCAATTTATGCAGTATATTTTATAATTATAAGCAAATATAATAAGAATTCTTAAGAATATCTTACCGTTTGCTTCACACGATTGGAAAACAATAGAAAATATAACAATTATAGCATATATTGCTGTCAATGAAGTGAATATTCGTTGATAATTCATATTTGGTGTACAATTATCGCACAAATTCTTAACACAAATCTTATCACAACTTATGTTCTTTACTGTATAACTGAAAGCAGAATAAGTGTTCAGAGTTTTTATAAGCCTAAACACAAAGAGTGGGTTTTATGCTAATGTAGTCTCATATTATTGTCACAAATATTCATTAAGATATTAAAAGTAAAGGTTACAAATGAAAACAAGTGCACTATTTACAAAATATATTTGAAAGCAATCCATCTAATAATATGGTCTTTTGCACTAATGATAACTTAATACATATTATTTGATATATCTTAAGAAAAATATTGTATAAAGTAAATGTTTCATAAATTAAATAAATATTTATTGTCTAAACAGAATCCATTAGGAGTCGATTAAACGAATTTTGTGTAATTGGTTTTAATGAAAAACAATTGAATAGATTAAAGATTGACTTTGAAATATAAATAGAATGTAAATTAAGAAAAAGTTATATTAAGACAATACATGTATTTTTCACGTCAATTCAACCCATACTTCTGGTCTTTGACTCCAATATTGATTAAGAAAGTGTTTGTCAATTCCGGCATTTAGTTTATGTCATCTTTATAACAGTAATGTACAACTACTTCATATTTCGCAATTCTTTTTCAATTATATTTGCAAGTTTTTTGTTGTAAATCTAACTGTAAGAATAACTAGAATTATAATTTATAACTACAATAATTATATTATAGTTTATAAGTTATATATTTAGGCTTATACTGTAGTAGAATATATAATGTACTAAATTAACAAATTTTATAACATGCTATGGGCTTTTATTTATAAAGATTAAAAATTAATAATAATTCAGTATATCTATTGGAATTAAAAATCTGTTTTTATTTTATTTTTGTAATTGTTATTTTAGAATTTCAATGTAATATAATTGCTTTCGTAAGGATTAATACATGAACTGACATTAAAACCATAAAGATATGAACCTAAAACCTAAAGAATCATGTAAAAGATATTTTTAATTTTAAATGACTATTTCTTGACAAAAATAACACTTATCTTATTGTAAAAATATTAAGTTCTAAATATAATTATATTCTGTAATATTTTTAGCATATTATATTTTATCATATTTTAATATAAATGTAAATTTAGTATGAATTATTCTATAGTATAGAATCTATACTCTACTGCTATACAGTATTTGATGAGAATTATTGTAAGATACAGAATATTATCGTAGAGACAACACATTAAACTTTAACTGTTTATCTACTATTATGAAAACAGCTTTAAATACCACTAACAGTACTAGTTAATAAAAACTATAGCATTATAAGTTTAAAATCATCAATCAAATATTTGCATAAATTATAAATTTTATTCAAAATGTTGTTTCCAAGAAAACATAATAAATTATAAAAACATTAAAAATATAATAAATAAGAAAAATTATAAGTTACAAAAAAAATGCTTGCAATAATTGTAAAAATTTATTACTTTGCATAATAAATGACTCGGTTTATAATCTCAGTAAATAAGTTACAATTCTGTGTGCTTTGGATGAATAGTATTGGAGGTTAACTCAGTTTTATCCGAGTCTTCAGTATCACTAATGTATTGGTTATCTCCGACATAATGAGTGGGATATATAAGTAATGGATAAACACTTAAAGCTCTCAAATTGCGGACTGGAAAGTGTTGATTCATGCGCTCATCCGAGTGTTTGTCATACATTACGGGCAAAAACTCGTCCACAGGAATCATGTGTTCCAAGGGTTTGGCATCAAGCAACTTTTGAGCGCCTAATCTGGTTATCATATAGCCGACCGTCCAATAAGAGTACGTGGGCTCTACGAAAAGCTCGTTAAACATACTCTCATTCTTGGAGTCCTGTATCTTTCGTCCCAAATATAGGAAGTCGTGAGTATTTGTGTCAAATTTGGACAACACTTTCTTCCAGCGATTCTTGAAATTGCGTTCAAACCTGACGTCGTCCTCGAGTACTATTACTTTAGATAGATTGCGACCAATCATATCCTCCCAAATGTGGTAATGCGAGAGAAAGCATCCGATTTCGCCGAAAGTCATCGGTCTCTTGTGGTACGGATCTAAGTATCCCTCCATTACGCGAATGCCTTTCGACTCAATCATATCGTCATTCAATTGCTTGCCGTCGACGGCGTCCCATATGTTGGCCTCAATGCCCAGTATTTGCAAACACGTGACCATTCGTTTGCGTCGCTCCGCTCTTCGGACCAAATTAATGACATAAACGGAATCGACATTCAATTCGTCGTTCTTCTCGCGACTCACGTATGACTGAAGTGAAGAAGCGATTGGAAACTCCGGGCCTTCGACTAGTGATTCCAACTCCAGATCAATGACATCCTGTTCTATAGACTTGAGTGAACTAACAGTGCTGTCAACGGGAGGAGGAATATAACCCCAGACCTCCTCGTTATTAATGTATAGGTTTATGGCATTCATTTTGGCTGATTTGGCAAATGCTATGATATCATCGAAAGGGGACACCTCTTGGGTGATGAGTCGCGAATCAAATGTCAAATTAAATGACTTCTTGTGTCTGATATTAATGAAAAGACACGAATGAATCATCGGAACCGCAAACTCTCCCATTCGTTGTCTCTCGAGAATTGGCAGATAATCATCAGTTCTGTTGTAATAACCCTTTGGTGTGATTCCGGCCCAGAAGTTGGAATAAGTGCCCAAAGAGTATAGCATTGGCGCCATTGCTATCATATGATCACTTCGGGTCAAAGTGAGGAACACCTGATTGTGTGTCAGAACCACATCCGAGTCCATGAAAAGTACAAAATGTGCCCAATTTTGTCGCGATATCTCTAAGCCATAGCTTTTCATTTCAATCAAACGCTTGAATCTATCGGTTGTCCAATACTTGTCTTCGTGTAAGTCTTGGACTGATTGATGGCCTAAAACGAGTTCAATGTCATTGTATTGCTTCCGATTGTCTCGAATCCATTTCCTCAACATCTCGACAGTCATTGCATTCAAATCAAGCATTTGCTGGAAGAGCTCCTTCTTGTCCTTATCGTCCGACTTATCGCTGACGAGGAGTTCGCTTTGAATCCATACTTTGATTCTGTGTTTGGGATATAATTGTCGTTCAATTGATCCCAAACTGAACGGCAGAATCGATGCCTTATTGTACGGATTGACTAATAATATAATTTGAATGGTTGGCAACAATAAGTCACTCTTGAAGTCATTGTCTGTCACTTCCAACACATCCAATGACTTAATGACAAAAGTGTTGGAAAGCAATAGAAACACAACTAAATGAATGCATTTCAGTGTCAAACACATTGTTATTATGACTGCAATTCAGTTATCAATCCTAATATTTGGCACCAAATATCAAAACTTAAGTAAATTATTGGCAAACTGTAAGACAAATAAGTCTCAAACTGTAAGCAATTGTCATAAACTGTAAGACATTTAAAATTTAAATGCACACAAAATATGTATTAGTTATTTAAAAAGCACTTTAAAAGCAAACAATTAGTAAAACATTGAGATTCTAAGAGTACATGAATTGAGTACAGTTTACATGAATTATAAGTTCAAAATTGAAAATTGTCAAAAACTGTAAGAATTTATAATTTCATTGCTTTTGTCATAATTTTTCAAAACAATGTGTTGTTTACATATATTATATATAAATGACGACAAATAGGCTTTAAGTTCATAAAAGAGACGTTATTTCATGTGATCTACAGTTCTATATATTTATTGCTTCGAAAATTCTATATAAGGAAGAATACAGGGAGGGTTAGGGAGGCATATATTTCTCTATATATTCACAGTTTTTAATATAAATTTAATATAATAAATTAATTTTAAGGTGTAATTAAATATTTTAAATTTATATTTTAAAGTTTAGCATATTACTATGAATTTAACTAGCACACTATTTAAAGTTACGGGGAGCATATAAACATTGAGATTCCCTCCCAAGTAATCCACACAATTCACTTCTCAAAGCCGAGAATATTGTTATTCATTGAATGATGTTATACTTTCGTTGCGTCTGGCCTACAATCTTTTAATAAATCTTCCTTGTTTATTCATATAATGTGAATCATATTACTTTATAATATTGATAGTAAAGTTATATTTTAATTGAGAATTTTTATAATTTTAAAGAAGAAATAGGAATATACTACCGTATATATAAGTAAATTTCTTTAATTTTCAAAATAAAACACAAATGATTTTCCCTGTGTAATAAATATAAAACATATTATGAAATACATAACATGTAAATTTATCATGGTCGAATAAATTAGGTCACAATTTTGTCAAATTTATAGGCGGTAATTTTTGTATTAATTTATAGTTCGGGTTTATATAAATTAATATATTAATTATGTAAACTGAGACCTTAAATTAAAATGTTTATTTATAAAGAACTAAATTGATTCTTAAATATGAGATTATAAAAGTTTTATAATAAACCTTACACCCGAATGTTTGAAGTTTCAATGAATGAGCTAGGTGGGTGCCAGCACTAAAGTTGTATAAACTCGCTGCAAATGTTCGCGATAGGAACAGCTCACAGTGTTATCATAGCTCAAATGACTGGTCGTTCGTGTCTTGTTGTGTCTCCGCCTCACTGTACTGTACGGTCTGTACAGTAGTGTTGAGTCTGGAGTTGTGTTTGGATTCAGACTAACTCTGATGTGAATGTTATGAGTGTTTTGTCGGATTCATAGCTAAACGTGTCATCAATTGTGGCCATAATTTGCATTCAAAGGTAAATGAAATTCAGTTATATTTGTCAATAGATATTGAAATGTGATGTGAGATGAGGTGATGAGTAGCAGTGCTATAGTGTTGTAGTGATGAATGTGGTGTCAAATAGTGTGCAATAGTGTAGTGAATGCAGTGTAAGCTATACTGTATGATAGGGTAGTGTATAGTCATAGGAATCTATTGCACAGTATTGTAGAGAATGTATTGGTATTGGAATTGAGCCGAAAATCCATATCAAACTAATAGCGCTATAGTTATACCGTAGTTGTAGTGCAGGAATGGGAGGGAATGGATGTGTTGGTCAAGTCATAGCGGATGAGAGCCTAGAATACGACCGAACCATAGCTTGTGTTCAGTGTATGTGTGCTCTCATTAGGCAAAGACATGTCTCTCTCGTGCGCTCAGCTATTCTCGCAGCACGTTCTCCACCAATACATACACTATCACCACACCATACACTGTAGTATGCCATACACTACACCAACTCTCTCTCTCTCTCCCTCTCCCTCTCTCTCTCCCTCTCTCTCTCTCTCTCTCTTTACACCTTAAAATTAATTTATTATATTAAATTTATATTAAAAACTGTGAATATATAGAGAAATATATGCCTCCCTCTCTCTCTCTCCCTCCCTCTCTCTCTCTCTCTCTCTCTCCTTCTCTGTCTGACTGCGTGTTTCACATCACGACAGGCAGGCCTTCAGTGAATGAATTGAATGTATTGTCAGAAGTGTATTGTTGTTGGAGTACGAGTGCAGGTGCAGAGCACAGGCAGGTATAGTAGGTATAAGGTATAGCAGGTATATTGGTGTATGAGGTACAGGTGCATAATGCATGTGTGCCATAGAAATGGCACGCATTATAACTCTCGATAACACCATAACTATAATCGCAATCAATTGAACCAATGGTCAGAAGGGAAGGCATAATTTGAGTGCATTTCTCTCAATCTATATGTTTAGATGTCTGTGTGCTGTGAGGGCTGACAGTGTGATAGTCTTTGTTTCTATTGTCTCTTCACTTCATCCTTGAGTTGCTTTTGGCACGAGTTTAGAGAATGTGAGACACAGTGAGAGAGACTGTGAGCGCAGAATGAAAGGCTCGCACGAGAGACAGCTCTCAGCCCTCATTCACTACATCTCAAGCATTGAGTTTATGGTTGTCTCTGACAGACACTGCCGTCACAGCATTGCACACACTGTTGTTCAGCCAATACAACACAGGTTACCATTAATTGCAGGCATCGGCTTCCTGTTATCTATGGCTCCCATCCCTTCCATTCCCTTCCATTTCTCGATCCCCGTCTCCTGTTTTTGCCACTGAATCACAATTTCACTAATTATTTGCACACATCGTTCAGATTCACATTCATTTGCATTCAATATTCATGAGAATTTAATTTGCCATCAAATTTCATACGTTATAATTGCTTATGAGTTGTACAGTCTATTCAATTCTTACTATCTAATCAAAACTTAATGTCCTTTTCTATCATAACTTTTGTTGTTTAAAAATATTCAAGGAAAAAGATTTTCGTTTTAAAAAATCTTTTGTAAGCTTTGGCGCATAAGAACATACTGTACGGTACAGTATAGGCAACACGACTCTACCAGCATATTATTATTCATATGATGCCAGATTTCATCAAATTGTTAATTAATAATATATTAACTATATTTTTGACAAGATATGTCAAATAGACTACAGAATATATTAGTCTAATAGTAATCACAACACAATGAACGCGATTTAAATTGAAAAATTAGCATTTATATTCTGTATATATTACTATTCATTATATTGCATAAGAAATGTTGATTATATGGGGATTCCCTCAGAATCCCTTATTTTGAGCCAATTCTATATAGTGTTTGATTGCTAATACTTGCTATATAATTATGATTTTGTATTTGTATTTGTAATAATAAATTAATAATAAGAATTTATGCTAAAATGTAAATTATTTTAAAATAGTAAAATAGTAAGTGACACAGAATAATTAATTGCAATTAGTGGCAAAAATAATTAGAATTTATAGGGAAATATTAATCATAAACTAAAAGCTAATGTGAGAATCGCTGATAATATCCGCCAAAATGTCATACTCGGTGGTGGGGATCGTGGGGCCGACACTGTAATGTACCCAAAATCCAATACCTGTCGTATCTCACAATAAATTTGTGTTCACTTAACCGTATTATAAGCTTCACGTATGATTGAGAAAGGCTGAGCTCAGGGTCGCGGTTGGTATGGCTGACCGAATGGCATTTCGTACGAGTCGTGTATAACTCGTGTTATGTTATAATGGGTTGCAGTGCAGAGAGTGAGTTTGAGATTGTGTTCACACGTATTGCAAACAAAGGTTAGTGACCGACACTCGCATCACAAATACAGTACACTGTGTATCTGTCGTCTCACTAAGTAATGGCAATATCAGTATCGATGTGTCGTTGCCTACAAAAATGATTTCCACAAAAAAATCAAATAAAGCAATAAATTAATTAGAAATTTATTTCATGTATTGAATGCTATACGATATGATAACACGATTTGAATGATAAATATGAATATAATTATGAGTATTTTATTAGTATAATACAGAATTTTGTATATTTTCTATAATCAGATGGTATAGCGAAGGAGGGAATAGTAATAGCGTTATAGCGATGAGAATATAACACAAGTAATGGAGAGACGGACAGCATTTGAGTCCGAGACCAATGAATTGGATTTATCGCTAACGAGACACATCTCCGGCCGAACCAAAAGCCGCAAAAACAATACTCCCACTCATTATGAGCCCACCATTCAGTCGAGTCTCGAGTCGCTACTCAATTCCGGCGCTTCACTCGACCCGACATCACAGGCCTTAATGCCGGCGCGCAGTAGTATATCTTCGTTGCTGTCAATGAGTCACTTGAGGTTATGGGAGAATCCGATGGCAGCCTCTGCCATCTCAGCCGCCGCTGCCATGTCTCACCTCATGGACATCAACCACTCGACCACTTCTTCATCGTTCGGGTCAGTTATCTTTGTATTCATTGCGTGCATAATCTCCAGAATTATTCAAATTCTTGTTACTTTTGCATAAAATATTCGCTTATTATGTGCTATTTGATGAGCAATTTGTTTGCATTTTAAGAATTGTGTGTTAATTATATTGAAAAATAGGAAATCAATTGAAGAACCAAATATCAGTCCAAATATGTGTTTAATATGCGGTCGAGTGACTCGAGATCGCAATGAATTGGAAAACCATATGTTATCGCATTCAATGGATAAACCACTTGAATGTCTGAAATGTGAGAAAACATTACGACAATTATCGCAATCAATAATAAAGTGATTAATTTTTTGTCTCTCACGACGCGACAGATGGACTCAAACCGAATCGCATTCAGGGTCTCCTCATGTCGTCGAAGAAACGAAAATCAAAACATTTTAGTCAGAACTCCGATCAACCGCTCGATGTATCCATGGCTGAGGTCAGGAAGAAACGAGTGGATGACTGCCAGTCACCCAAACATGAAGACAATAAAAACAAGATCTGTTACCAGCAGTCGAATGAAGCGATTAATTCCATCAACACTAATGCATTCCCCTGTAGTTCATGTCATAAGACATTTGCCACTGAAGTCGACCTAAAGGCACATCTCATGAGACACTTGACTCAACACCCATTCGTATGCCTCGCGTGCGGTAAAGGTTTCAAATACGAGCACTCTTTGAATTTTCACATCAAATCATATCATAACAACACTTCCAGTACTAATAATAACAATAATACAAATCCAAACACTGATAACACAATTAGTAGTANATGCCTCGCGTGCGGTAAAGGTTTCAAATACGAGCACTCTTTGAATTTTCACATCAAATCATATCATAACAACACTTCCAGTACTAATAATAACAATAATACAAATCCAAACACTGATAACACAATTAGTAGTAATAATAATAATAATATAGAAAACGAAACGAAAGGAATAAATAATAAATGTATTGATTCTGAGAAGAAGAGCGAAAGAGTCGAAAGATTGAGTGCAGAGAAGACTAGCGAACAGAACTGTGAGGACGAGACCAGTATTGATGGTATGGATGGCGAGCACAGCGATGACGCCATTGGGGATAACGATGAGAATCATAACAATCGTGAGACCATGGAGTTCGGCGCCCCTCCACTGAACATCAGCTCCCGAAGTATACAAATAAAGTGCGAGAAGCTGTTGATAACGATGTTGGAAGGGGTGCATCCGGTCACTGAACAGAGTTACGTGCTGTACAAGTGCTGTCTGTGCGGGTTTGCCTTTCCGAGCTTAGAACCAGTTGTGTTGCACCTGCA